TATATATATATATATAAATAGATAGATAGATAGGAGAGTAAAAAAGAAGAAAATTTTGTTAAATAATTGATATAATTTACTGTGCATGACCTGCAAGCATATAGAATTCATAAAATAAATTAAAAATACTGTGAAAGCATGGAAAATAATATAATAAAGATAAATGAGAAGAGATGATGAAAAATTATTAAAATACAATATTTTCAAGAGCTAAAAAATTTTATTATAAAAATATTAAGAAGCTGGGAAACAAAATAAGGAAAAGGTATAACCTCGTAATCAGCTCTCACGATTATATCCGTAAAAAAGAGTGCTTTCTAATATTGTATTAATATAGCCAAAGCGAAATATAACAATGCAATAGTGTGAGGAACACCCAAAAAATTGAAAGGAAAATGGAACATGTTATGCAAAAAATATACGAAATAAAACATGTTAAGCAAAAAATAGAATGCAAGAAAAATACTGAATAAAATACAAAATGTAATCTATAAGGCAAGTAGCGAATTCAAATGAACTTACACGTTCCGGAATCTTTCAAAAATGATTAAATATATTTCCGTAATAAGTTTGCCAGATTACAAATATAAAGATTTAAAATATATATATATATACTTTTACAGTAAAGTGTATCTTCATACGGTTTCACTATCCTCTAAAGAAAAGAATTATTCCTTTATGCATTATCTAACTCAAACGTTTTTCAATTTTGTTTAGGTTTTAATCTAGTTTGTTTTTTCCCATTTTATTCATACAATTTCACAAATTCTCAACGACTTCAATCACTGATATCTGAAAGCTTGCTCCTCCTTCCTCCCCTGCCATTCAACCTAGAAAATAACGTAATAGATCGAACACAATCTTCTATTTAGAAAATTCCTGATAGCTTTGCTCTACTACACTTCATTCGATTGTACAAGCATTTGAATCACCTCTATTGGCTTTATTGTATACTCGGAGCACGTATTCTTTGACCACCTTCTCTAGTTAGATGCTTGGACGAAAAAGAACACCTACTACCACCCTCATTTCCCCTGTTCAGAACAACTTTATCTGATTGGAATTTTCTGTCAGCCCTTGCTGTTGTTGCTGTGAACCCCTCCAACAACTTTAGGGACTAACTCTTTTGGGGGTAGAAGGCGGGCGCTAAGGCAATTAAATAGATAGGATTTTGTGTACCGGAGTCTTCTGTAATGTAGGTAATTGAGAACATACGCTCTTTGATTGAAGGATTGATTGATTTAGGGCTGTATCGAAGACGAAGAAGAAATCAAACGGTAGAAAAAAGAACAAAAAGAAACTTCCTTAACTAGATGGCTTGAACAGTCGTGACTACTGATTTGAAAGGGATAAAGCATAGCAGATGAGGAAAGCGTGCCATTCATGGAATGTGAATGGAGGTAATGTTTCCTCCACCAAACTTACAAATTACCGAGAGACCAACCAATACAATTTCCGGGAAACTGTTCTTTATTCCAAAGAATCTGCGTAAATATTTAGAGAAAAGTAATCATAATGTTTGGTATGCTGAGAAGACTAAAGCATCCGCGAACTAGTTCGATCTGGACTCTGGACTTAAAAATCAACTACCCTTGCAATTTGTAATCTGACAGTATTGAGGAATATTTTTTTAAACAAGTATAATTTTAACCTTTGTGAGAAATTCTATTAATGTGTACTTTATTTTTTAAAATTATAAATACGAATTAACTATTAAAATGTTAAGTTTTATCAGTTTTAATATCAAATGAGTTTTCTATTATGGTAATTTTGAGGAGTTTTAAAATACAGCTCTTTTTGAATTAAATATTTTTGAAACTGTTTATCTAATTAACTCAACCACTGTACATTAGTGAATAAGGGCGACAAATTTATAATTAGGTGAAGGTGTCTCTCATTGCACGTTTTAATTATCTTGTCAGATTAGATAGTTTTGTAGTTATGAACGTTTTCATTTTATATTTTATAACTGGCGTTTAACTGACGCTCCAATTCTGAGTTTAGTACTTTTATTGTAGAACTCCATAGTCTTGCAATTTTGAACCCAACTCAGAAAACAGGGGAGCACCTGAATAAATTAAAGGGAAAAGCTAGCCTTCGTGGTGGAATGAAACTAACTTTGTTAATGGAACTTTGGAATGGAACTAGCCAGCATTTATGTTACACCGAGAGAAAAACTACGAAAACCTCTCACGGTTAGCCCGATGGAAAGGGGATTCTAGCCTGTGATACGTCAACCACTGATGATATTTAATATCAGCAATGTGGTCGGTGCACGCCAGGAGCAGAATTCGTAACCACCAGCCGCCGCTGAGGTTCGAACCTCGACCACCTCCTTTAAGGGCGAGTGCTCTATCCCCTTTGCTACCATTTCTTAAGTACTGAAAATCGACTCTGTTATTGTTATTACTTTCTATACCATGCATTTATAGACATAAAGGCACACTAACTATAAAATTTTATGTAAGTATTAGAAAAAAAAAGAGTTGCTTGCCCAATGAATAAATTTGATCGTAGTCATTGAACTAGGGATTCATTATGAAGGGTAAATTTATTGTTTATTTTGATGTAATATTATCGTGATAAAAGTCAGTAATATATTTGAAACTTTTTTGCTGGATGCCCATACTGCAAAGTAATTGAGAGGAATTAAGACGATATATTTATACTCGCAAAGAAAAGAACGTTTTAGTTGAGTCAGGAGACAACACAGAAGGGGTTACAGTTACTGAACATACTTCATAACAGACCAGGAAGCGTATGTTTACATATACTTGTTAATGATGTGCCGTAAAGTGAACTTACTCATACTCGCTTTTGAAGTGGGCAGCGTAAATACCAACACACCCTCTTTCGCTGTTTAGTTCCAGTAATAAAAGAAAAAGAGCAAAAATATTAATTATTTATGACAATCATGCATAATATATATATATATATNATATATATATATATATATACAGGGTCATTCATAACTCCCTCCGGGGTTTCGAAGCGTTATAGTAAAAAAAAAGAAGACGAAAGAAACGTATGAAATTATTCCGAAACTTTTCAAGTTTTACTTATATACAATTACAGATATATATATATATATATATATATTTGATATATATCGAACAGCCATGTTCATAAATTTCCCTCACATAATAATGAAGTAAGTCTATGTGTTATGTTCAGGACTGGTTTTTTATTCGTTTCGCGTCACTTTGATTTTTATAGTAAATTAAAGCTGGCTTAAACATGTCGTAATTACGTTCAGAAAAAACTCTACGTCGATGAACAGTTTCTTTTGAACCTTCAGATAGATTTATACTTCAGCCTCAGTAATCGAAACAGCTATTGATTATCTTGACTGTATTTCAGATGTCCAATCAGCATCAGTATAGCAATTGTACACTTCGAGTGTATGTATGCTGATTTGCATAAGTTGCATGCAACTTAAAAAAAACTAATTTAAATAGTTTCTTCTAATTTTCCAGGTATTAGTTTCATTTTACATAAAGTTTACCTTAAAATCTGCTGCAAAAAGTTTTCTAACATTTTTAAAAATAGCAAATGGGAAGTCGGTTGCTTTCGTATAACAATAATAAATCCAAATAAGTCACCGGCATCTGCTTTCTTTAAAACTTTACTAAAAATTCTTGCAACATATTTTTTTAAGATAAGCGAATACCTGGAAAAACAATGTAGGCTATATAAATTTAATTTTTGCAAGTCACACCCAATATTTTTTTGCTACCTTTTCATGTAGACCTACAAAAAATTTTAATTCTGTAAATTTTTAAAATTATTTTTAAATATTTTAAGATCAAAACAATAAAACTGTTTGCAAACTAAAACTGTATTTATTGATTAATAAAAAAAAGTAAAGAATTTAAATAGTGATTTAAAAATATCTTACTGCCCTCATTCTGTAAATAATAAAATGAAAAATATTTTTAATTTTATTTTATTGTGTTTGTTAATATTTTTAATGTGTGCATAATTCCAATAATTTTGTGTTTTAGTTACGAACATATTAAATTACTAACGGAATCGGTGCAATTTATATCGATTAGGTAATATTTTTGCAAGTTTATCTACAAGTATATTGTTTTTAAAGCTTTAAAAAAGACACATATACTCGATTAAACAGAAATGTAGTCTGATATCTGATTAAAATGTTCTTTTATTTGGTATTGTTTTAATTCATTATCATAAACTAATTAGACATAGATCGATTTTCTTTACTTAATTACGCGATTCAAGACATGAATGCAAAATATTTTAATTACTCTAAATACCAATCGTTTTTTTTTCTTTTTAGTTTCAAAGTGCCAATATATAAAGAAAATATAATGGAAAAATGTCAGTATTACGATAAAAAATACTCAAAGAGATTGAAAGTGAATAAGTTTCCACTTATTTTTTAGCTTAATGTTTAGAAAAAAGTGTGAATTAAAGAATATAAAGTGCTAAAATTAAAAGGTTTTAAAATTCCTCTTGGAATTTTTATAAAATGCTGTAAATACACAATATCATTATTTCTTAAAGAAAAATTTCACTTAAATTTAAAATTTTTTTCTGGAAATACCATCTTTCTTTACTATTTATCGCTCAATGAACACACAAAAATTAGTATATTAAAAGAAGAAACTATGCTATTCACCTAGCCTTGTCAATTCATGTTTTTACTTTGCATAATCCATTCAAACAAAAATATTTGATTGAAAAAAATTACGTTGCAAAACATAATATTTTTAAACTTTTTTTCAGAAAAATAACGCTGTTTTAAGCGTATAACAAATTCAAAAGGGACATTATTTAAAAGGACATAAAAGGACAGGGAAAAAATTATAGAAAACTGGGAAAATTATATTTTTGGTGTCAATTATATTTTTAAAAAAATATTCAAAAAAAATTTTATTTGACATGCCTTGTATATTTATTTGTTTAAAATCCGAACAAATTTTACCATCACCTAATATTTCAATTTAAACAATTTCTATAGCAAGTCTATTTACGTATAAAAAGTAAGATTTTTATCAATTAATAATATTAATGCATATTAAACTGATTATAAAAACGCGAAGTTTCTTATTACTTGAGTAATTGGTTGAATAAATAATCCCAAGAAACTTTACCCGCTTCAAAAAGATACAAATTGGAAATAACATTTGACATCTTTTAAGCTCTCAAAGCAGGCGCCCACTTTCAAGACTTGCCAAACGCTTATTTTTATGTTTATTTTTACTTTATTTCTCGTATAGAAATTTTTGAAAATAAGTACCTGCTTTTGAGTTCTTGAAACATGTTGGCTGTTGCTTCCAATTTGTATAGTTATGAAGCGAGTTTTTTTTTTTTTTAACATTTCGATACTTATAATTTTTATTTTCTAAAATGTTCACAGTTTAACATTAAAGTTTAATTTGCTTTTAATCTTCAAATTAAAAATGATAAATAATATCCAAAATGAAAAACAAAAAATTTATTTTTGTAAAAGGAATTATTGACCTACATCAGAAATCTCGCGGAATGCTTAGATTTTTTGCAGAGTTTTAATAGTTTCAGTTTCGTTTTTAACTGGAATAATTTACGAAATCATTACATGTATTACATCACTTTATCATTTGAATAAATATGATTCTAGTTCACTGTAATTGTTTTGCTTGATCAAGTATGTTGCTTTAAAAATGCAATGCGAATATTATTTACATAAAAGCAATTTGTTTTGTAGATAAATATTTTTTTCTGTAGGTTAGATGGAGGTTTTTTTAATTTTAATGTTTCTCCACTACTATGCGCTTGGATCGCCTACATGTAGTAAAACAGAATCGTAAGTAATTTGTGTTTTTAACTGTAATGCAAATAAATTTACTGCAATGCACATAAAATAGCTATGAAATACGTCAAGTTAAACAAAATAACATTTGACTATCATATTTTAGATATTTAGCAATGATATTTTAGATTACAATAAAACATAATTGCCAGTATTCATAAACGACAATGACAAAAAAAATTATTCATATCCATATGATTAATGATTGCAAGTAATAAACGAGCTGTAGCGTTTAAGATAAACATACTAGCTTTTGATAAAGATACAAATATAATATTGTTTTGTTATCATGCTGTTCAGTAGAAAATTTGATAATATTTGTTTATTTCAAAACGATAATTAGTGATTTTATAGTAATTTTAGATAACATAAAACTTCTATTTTATTTAGTAAAAGCTTGTTGACTTTTTCTAGTAGGTAAATTTTTTCGCCATTTACATCTTTAAAATTATACAAAATGACGCATTTGTACACATTTGTTTTATTTTATTGTCACTCGTAGATCTACAAGACTTATGTTCATATTACAAAGACCGTTAAAACCATTATTAAACATGAAAACTTCTTAATACGACTAAACTAAGTCAGTAGTTTAACTGTTATGTATCAAGCTGTCCCACCACTCTAAAACAGAAATGTAGTGGTAAATGTCAGAATTATGCCACAACCCTGTATTTATATATTTATTACGTATATACACCCTTGTGCAAATTAATTGAAACAAACTCAATAAATTCAGAAAACTAAGAGAAAAAGCTATTTTATTTAAATTTATACAAACTCAAAAATATTTAGTACATAATATGATCTCCACGACACTTTATTAACATTTGGTCACGATTCGGCATGGATTCCACTAATTTTTTCAGTCATTTATAATATTTGTGTCCTTGTACCACACATGAATTAACGCCGTGATTAGCTTCTCCATAGTTGTACAGTCCATATTTAATAGGCGATTCTTTCATATGGTCCAGAGATTCTCAATTGGGTTGATATCCGGAGAGTTCCCTGGCCATTCCAATGTCTCAATTTGATTCTTAGACATGAATTTCTTGACAATTTTGGACATATGGCAAGGAGCTAAATCCTGTTGAAAAATCCCTGTTCCATTTGGGTATCGTTTCTTCAACTCTGGAACAACTTTTTTACCCAGAATGGTAATGTACTGCTCCGAGCGCATCATACCGTCAATAGGCTGCAAAGGTTCAACCCCATTGTAACCGAAACAACCCCAAAACATCTTTATTAAAAAACGTGAAAAAAAAGCTTGTTTCAATTAATTTGCACAAGGGTGTACATATGCAGGCTTGTGCGCTCGTTTGGCTTATAAGTTTGGCTTATAAGGCCCTTCTTAGTTAAAGAGTAGATCGGACTTGATGGAAAAAGGCAACAAAAAGACAAAAATATAAAACCTGATTTATGACGGAAATCGAATTCGTTATCTTCATGTAATGGACACAAACCTGCATTTTATTTTACATTCCAAACGGTGTCGAATAGTCGATCCAAGTTTGAGCTTACGATCATAAATGTTTAACTCTGTAGCTTTGTATTGAATCCACTCCAGAAGACAAGGGGACTTCTGGATCAAGCTTTTCGAGAAACTAGGCTTCGTGTAGGACTTCATGATGGAACTAACCCGTGTTTGAGTTAAACGGAAATAAAAACCTCTGAAATCTCCCACGGTTAACTCGACGGCAAGGGGATTTTAACCCATAATCCGTTCAATACTGAGGATATTTTACATCAGCGCTGTGGTCGGTGTGAGCCGGGAATAGAATTTGAATCAACCAACCACAGCAGGGATTCGTACTTCGGTCACCTTATTGGAAGACAAACACTTTTTAAGTATAATTATAAATAAGTAAATAAATAAATAGTTGAAAAAGTGAAGCTATTTTTACAGGAATCTCACTGGCTGAGAGTTCAAATTACTTCTTGCAAAATGTTCTTTAACTTGACTAGGTCTTTGAAATCTCTCTTTTTCAGCCCCTCCCTTTTTACAAACTCATGTTATATTGAAGTAAAGAAGCCAAGCGTTTGAGAAAGAGAACTTGAAGATTGTACATAAATCTATACAATGATATAAGAAAACTAATAACGTCATTTTGTTTTATTATTTAGGTACTTAGAAACATACACAAAGAGTTACACATATCCAGTGCAAATTACGTACAAGACAAGTTGCATGATATTTTTCTCTTGTGATGCAAAAAGGTACATTTATAAGTAATAAAATTAATACATTTTGGAATTGTATCTTTATAAAGTATAAATGCACATAAATTCTGTATATTAATGTACATAATGTTCTGTATATGAATGTATCTAAAACAAAGTGGTGAAATGAATTATTGCCCACAATAGTTTTCATTTTACTCATATTAAACTTAAAGTTTCCGTATTGTTCTTTTAAAAGCGATGGCAATTCGAAAATTAACTTCCAATTTGTTTTAAGTAAAATAAAAAAAAAGCCAAAATATTGTGAAATTTTTTATTTGCATCTGAAATTCTTTAATAGTCTTCTATTATTTACTTTCAAAGTAAATTTTATGTAAAACTTTGTCCAGTCAAATTGTACAATTAGAGTTATTTCATGACTTGGAAATTTAGTCAAATTTGGTTTGTTGAGCTTTAATTCAAGTTAGTTGTAGCAACGTAACATCTTTGAAATAATTTAGGTTTTTCGAAATAGTCTCATAATATTAAGCATTACAATATATATTAAAATAAATATGTTTTTATACTATTTATCAAAATAATTATTTTAATGTTTTTTCACGCACTCATTCACAATATTCAATAGAAAAATTTGTTAGATAAGCTAACAAATTTATAAAAAAAATATTTAAAAACCTTAAACCTCACTTAGATAAAAAGTAAATTACTGCTGACCTATGGGTACAGAAAATTGGGATAGAAGAATGGGTCTACTCACGGATGTGAACCCGTAAAAACTGCCCTTGAAAACTTTTGCACATAAAATGTTTGTACCATAATCATAATTATCTACAAATTTTTAAACCAAACTATTTTTTGTCTTTTGAAATTTCTGAAGATGATTTGAGCTTGTTTTCAAGAACCTTGAGCACTAATCATCGAGATGAACTTATATATATCTATAAATAATAATATATATAATTGATGTAAATATAAAAATAATACTGAAATAAAGTGCAACTATATTAATAGTATATACTTCTTGCGCAATATTTGCCATATTAATAATAAAAAAATACGAAATTGACCCCACTTATTGAAGCAATGCAGTTATTATTTCCGACGTTAAAATAATGTTATACTGAAACTATATCATTTTAGCATCATGATCATGAATTTAATTATAGAACTGAGTACAGAATCAGATATAAAGTTGAAAGTCAAGTCCGCCACAGGTTGGTGAATGTTTGTTGTTCAGGATATGTTTCAAATGGAATTAACTGTGAACGTAAGTCAGAATTAATTTGGTGCAAAGTTTCAATCATTTATACATATTGTCATTTTTAACCTACTCTCATTTCATCGTTGTAGCTGTTTGTGTGAATGGATGCGGACACGGTAAATGCGTATCACCTAATGTATGCTCATGTGAAGCTGGATGGAAAGGAGTTACATGTTCGCAAAGTAAGTATCAGAATGGAAATTTCGTGAGTGCTATCTATGGAAGCAACATATATTTTTATTGTCAACATAGCTATTAAAATGTACGAAAGGTTACAAAAATTGTTACGTCGCTGTTGGCTTAATGAGTTTTCTTTTGTGTTAAATTTAAGTTGGTTTAGAAAAATATTTTTACTGCTAAAACTAAGTTAGTTTAGAAGAGTTTTTCTATATTTATTTAGAATAGCTATCATAGAGTTTTGATATCATGGAGTCATAATTTTGTGCGAGGGCTATATTAAAAATTACCAGCGCTGTCAAGATGAAGTACACTGTTAGAATTTTCATTCTAAAATTTCCTGTAAAATAACCGGCAGCATTCTATTCATCCATTTAATTGTAAAATTTCTGTAAAGAACATTTTTTACCTTTACGGTTTTGAAATCGTTTGTAACTAGTCTGTTTAAAAAACAATGAATACAAAACCATACTGTTTTATCATTTTTAAACCATACCATTTAATCATTTACAACTAGCATAGTTTTAAGACCGACAAAAAGAAATTTAAGGATATTAGAACAAGGATTTTAGTTTGGCAATCAGCATTGGAGTTAGGATGTGGTTGAGTTGTGTTTTATCAAATGAAGCAAGAAATGTTGTTTAATTATAGCTAACTAGTTGTTTTATAGATCGTAAAAAAGGGAAATTCTAGACATTCCTGTGTTAAGTAGCTTTATGGTGCTGTCATCTATTAGTGAATCAGAGTAACTTATTCTAACAGTCCAGGGTCACAAACTAGGGGTTGCAGGGCACTGGAAATTTTTGATGTGCTGAACTGAATGGAGGAAATATTGTGGTTTCAACGCAGGGACTTGAACTTCTGTGAGATTGACAGATTTGTCCTCTTGGCTATAATATGTACCCAACTGCAAGAAACTAAGTGGTTTTGTTATGTGAACCTAGTGAATGCGACAAAATTCTGGTAGTTTTAACCTTATTAGGTGAAGTCAGTTAATAAACGGGTTTTCTCACAGTTAACAGTTTGAATACCATCTTATTCAAGGTTATTTGACTGTTTTGATTGAGTATGGTAAAATAACACTTAAACAAGTTGTTATTTAACCATTTTTTCCCGGAAATTTCTAACAGTATATTTTGTAACACTATATCATAGAGTGTTACCTCTGGCAAGCCTAGTGGTCTAAAGTCTTATTTCTGGTAAGACTATAGACTAATGTCTCATCTCAAGTACTGAGTTTCATCATGTCAAAACTAAAAACAAAAGTCTTATCTCGAAGTTAAACAGTTGTCATCTAGTAGAAGTCTTAAGTATTATAATTTATATTATTAGCTATTTGAAATTTAATACGACATATAATCAAATGTTTAATATACTATTGATAGGTTTACTTAAAAAAATAATTGAATAAAATGAGGCATAGCCAATTAAAAAGTCATAATTTATATTTTATAGAATTTCATTTGTAAATTTTTGTTTATTATATTCTGATAAATAGATTATTGTATAAGTTATTTTATTGTATTATCTAACACGAAAATTATTTTTTACGGAAAAAAATCACGCTATATTATTTTTAATACGCATAAAACAACGATATATTTTTTTTCCTCATCAGCATAAAATTAATAAAAGTTAAAATGGTATTCACCGGTATATTACTTTTTACCATTTATTTAACGGTTTTGACTGGTACTATTTCTTTAGTATCACTTTTTAATATTATTATCTATTATTCTTATTCGATTCGAATTCAATTGCTATTCAAAATTATAGAATAAAAAGTAAAGGTGCTATTCATGAAAACCATATTACATTATAACATCATAAGAAAGATTTTAAGCCACATTTTTAAAATAAATAGACTGTAAATTAGTTGCGTCTCCTTTTTAATAAGTTATATGTTTTTTTATAACAAGTTTACATCTGTGTTTATTCAATGTGTGTAATTTAAATAATAAATTAAAATTAACTAAATAAAGTTCACCTTTTGCTCGATTGCTAAATGAAATAATCATTAGTGACAAATATTTAAAAGGATTTTATAATTACCGAATATTGAGTCATTAAGCGAAGTGAATGGAGAATTGAATTCCTTTGTACAATGCATATTTCATGACTTTTTTTCGCGAGAAACTTTAAACCCCTGAATGTTCTACGTTTTTTTAAAAAAAAAATTTACTATCACAATTTTAGTATCCATACAAACTCCGTTCAGTAAGGGGATATTTCGGAATCGAATTCAAGGAAACCATTCTAACATACAAAACACCTACGATTAGAGCAACAACAATAGAACTCATACTAATGATCCGCTATATGCTAGGTCAAACCGTGAGTAATTATTTGATTCGGTCAGTTACTACTTGACCACGATTAGCTTGAACTAAATTAGGTTCTGTTTCTACCAAACCATCCTTATCAATAATATTTTATATCAACAGAAAAAAGGACTGAAATAAAATTAAAAAAACTTAAAGAAATGATAAAAGTCATTTAGTTTTCTCAAACGTACACTGACCTTAAAATTCTCAAGGATACTGAAATTGGTTTTTAAGTCTTTTCTCTCTCTTTTTCTTTTTTTCACTCATAATTTGCACTGACATGAATTTTATTAGTTTAAGCTCTTCGGTGCCTTTTTAAGTTAGTTCGGGAGTTGAGATTTATCGGTGAGAGTCAACAGGAAATAATTATCCAACGGAAATTATATACAACCGAGTTTCATCTTTTTTTTAAAATTTTTTTTCTTTCCAAGAGTGAAAGAAGAGAAATACTGGGAAATATAGAAATAGTCTGACCTTAGTGAGATGTCGTGTTTGGAAACTAAATAATAAAAGAAAGATTTTACTGTTTTACAGAATTTATAATAAATAATATCTAAGCACTTTAACTATATAACTACTTTACGAAAGGAAAAAAATAAGTTTAGAGATTAAAAAAAGGGAAATAATAAGTTTAAAGTTCAAAAGAAATTTCCTTGGAATATTTATATGATTTAAAATAATCAGAAAGTTTCATTTTTATTTCATTTTGTTTATTTATTTGGTTTAAAAAATGCTTGCATTTCTAATTTACCTTTGACTCTCTAGTAAAATTACCAAGGGGGATTTGTATTAAAATAAATAAACATTTAAAAAAAAGGAAATTGTTAATTGCTTCTGAAAAAAATTGCAATTTATTTAATTTTTAGTAAATTTCAAGGAGATATGTAGAAGCAGAAATTTTTTTTTTTAAACGTTCATTAAAAGTTTCCTTAAAAACTGTTTGTTAAACTGTTAATGTTTAAGCATGTTAATTCAGTAACTGCTTTACAAAAAAAAAGTGAAAAAAAAAGTTGAGAGATTAAAAGAAAATGAAATAATAAGTTTAAAGTTCAAAAGAAGCTTCCTGGAATATTTATATGATTTGGAGATAAGAAGTTTCATTTCTATTTCTTTTTATTTATTTATTTAACTTATAAAGGTTTGCGTTTCAAATTTACCTTTGACACTCTAGTAAAATTTCCAAGTGAGTTTCGTATTAAAATAAAAGAACGTACAAAATCTTTTATGTAAATTGTTAATTCCCTTCGAAAATAAAAATTTTGCAATTTAATTAATTTTTAAAAAATTTTAATGCTGCGATATAAAGAAAGACGAATAAATTTTTTAGCGTTCATTAAAAGTTTCATTAAAAACTTTTAAGTATATTACTTGTTTTAGAGCAAATTTTTTATTTAACTTGTTTATAAACATAAACAGTCCATTAATAATTTTATTGAGGGCACATTTAATTCTAAATTTTATGGCAAGTAATGCATTTAAAATAGAAATAAAAACAAATAAAATATGGAACACCGTTTGTGCTTTCTTAAAAAGAAAAAAAAAAAAACGAATTGCTAAAAAAATTTGTATGAAGCTTTGAGACTGCATATATACGACATAAAAGTAACTGTGTTTTTAGCCCTTTGCAATGAATTTAAGTTCACATATTTATATTTTTTTTAAAATTATGTTTATAGTATAATTATATTATATTGTATTATATTACATTATATTGTATTATATTATGTTATATTATATTATATTATATTATATTATATTATATTATATTATATTATATTATANTATATTATATTATGTTATATAATATTATATTATATTATATTATATTATATTAAATTACATTTGTCAAAGTATATTTCTATTATATTAACTCAGTTGCCTGTTACAGAAATTTGCTTTCATGCCTTCCACAATATTTATTTTTTTAAAAGTGTTGATTCCAATTAAACTAGAGTAAAATCTCTTCATTTAAATTTTTAGGTTGTGAAGGGGGATTTTATGGTTCTGGTTGCACTAATAGTTGTGCATGTCACAATGATGCTAGGTGTTCTCCTACAACAGGATACTGCTTTTGCAAAGATGTTAAGTATTTAATAATTTTTTTTTCATTTCCAACTTCGTATTATCTTTGACAAATGTGAATTGATAGTTCTGTTTTATACCACTGAATTGTCGTAAAAATACTAATGTCCTTATTGAAAAATATTCAGAACCAATTTTTTTCAATTGTCGGCATGCAAACTTTTTGGAAATTTGTATAAATTGAATTATAAATACACCAAATGTTAGGAAAATTGAATTTTTTTCTATTATATAATAAAGAGTAAATTATACACAGTACAAGGAAAGAAAAAAATTTGGAAAAGTTTCCGTACTGTATAGTAATAAAATTTCCAGTAAAAAAAAATTCTTCTGGTGAAACCGAAGCATACTGTATTTAAAACGTTCATTGCATTCTTTTTCTCATTTAATAATTTTTTCCCTCGTATCGAAATGGTTTACAAAAATTCCTGATTTTCAAAATTATAGCCTTATTACCACACATTTAGTAAAAAATTAAAAAAAACAAACTGAAAAGTACATTTAACAGTATAAATGATTTTCCTACCGCTCTCTAAGATATAATTATAAAATTTCACCGCGTCTACCAAATTTTATCACATATCTTAACATCATATTTCATTGTAAATTTTACCAAAATCATATCATAGCACTTTGTTATAAATTACCGAGCTTTTTGGATCTCTTATAGTCTTAGACACATGGTAAATTTTACCACATTCTGGTTGTTTTGAACATACCTTTTTTTTCTTAGAGTTCATATATTTATTTAAATTATTATCTATTATCAAAATTAATTAAACATCATTGGTGGTGACATTACTGGATAAATTAATGTGTTTCTTCTAAATGAGTTAGTACCACTTGTTCATTAATTGTGCGTTTCCATACATAGCTTGTCAAAATGTCAGTCAAATAAGTGTGGTCATTAAAAGTTGTGTTATTTTTTTATGTTTAAGAGTTGAAGTAGGTGGGTATTTTATTTACGTCACACTAGAGCTGCACAATGGGCCATTAACGATGGTCTGGGAAACATCCCTGAGGATGATCCGAAGACATGCCCACACAATTTTGATCCCCTGCAGAGGGGATAGCTCCTCCGCTTTTGTAGCTCGACGACCAGCTACCAAAGTCGAAGACTTTACTGTAGAACAGTTTTACGAGGATATATACCGCACACCCTCGGTTCCGATGCAGAGTGATCAAAGTGGTCACCCTCCCGCTTACTGACCGCAGGCAGTGATGCTTGAGTTGGGTATTCTACTGGGAACCGTGTCTTTATAATCAGTTCACTGCGGGAAATTTAAGAATTGAGAAATGAAAAACGTGGTTTCTCTTGGTTACTAGAGTTTTCCTAGTTTTGTTTCTTACCTTTATTTTTCCATTTTTTGTTGGAAACTTTACGTCTTTTTATTTCAATCACTACTTCAAAAATGGGCGCCTATTTTTGAGACGCTTGAAACAAGTTGACTGTTATTTGCTATTTACACATTTTTGAAGCGAATGAAGGCTTTAATCAGGTAATGTTCTACCGCTTTAGTTTCTTGGGATATTTTCTATTTAAAATACAAGTTGGTTGAAATACTATTTTTATACATTTTAATTTTAGGTTGGAAAGGTAAAAAATGTGATATTCCTTGTGAAGAAGGATTTTTCGGAAGTTATTGTTTACAAAAGTGTGATTGCCAAAATGATGGAACATGTGATAGAATTAAAGGTGTATGTAAATGCCCTGCTGGGTATACTGGAAATAGGTACGATTCGAACATAAATAAAATCCTTGTATTTCTTATTTCTTATATATTGAATAGGTTGAATTATATATTGAATAGGTAATAGAGCAAAATAAAAAATTACATTCGATATTTATTTTGATTATTATTAATTGTTTCCACATGTAGTAAAAAAAACACCATGTGGTTCCCATCTGTATCCCGCAAAAACTTAACTACGGTTGAAATTTGATATGCGGAAAGAACTCTTTTTATTTATGAACTTAACAAGAATTTTTTCTTAAATGGAAATTTAAATTAATTTGAAAATTATTGCAATTTTAATTTCATGACTTTTTGCTCATTTTTTTAAAAATTTAAATGTTAACTATTAATCTATTGTTAAAGAGAAATGCATTTTTTTCTCACTCGAGATGTTTATTTTATTCGCTCGTGCTTGAGTAGATGTAAATAAAAAGTAACAATAATGAGAGAGACAGAGAGAGATTAATTACTGAAAGATATAAATCTTAACATTTATCTTGAAATTTTGTAATTTTAAAAGTTCTCTTCCGAGAATAATTGAAATTCCTTTTCGAACACTCAAATAGTTAAAAAAATGACGTCTATTTAAAAATTATTGATATGCAGGTGAGCAAAATAGAAAACAGATCAGCAAAATAATTTTATGTTTACTGATCGAATTTTAACGTAGAACTTTGGAATTTTAAAATACTCAACTTTTTAACTTTTTAAATTTAGATGATTAAATTAGATGGCGCGTAGTTTTAGATGATTAATCACAAAGTACGAGCGAATTCGACCGAATAGTTTCGAAATAATAGAGTTTAAAAAATCGTATTTTTAAAACTTAGTTTCTTATTACTATTCGATTGCTTCCGTTTAAATTTTAATTTTGTGATTTAAAACTAGCAAGTTAATGACGATGAAAAAATTTACGTTCCTTACAATATAAAAAGTTTTGGTCGTTATTATGATAAAGTTATAAATAAAATCTATATTTTTCATATTTTTGGTAAACAAACATTATAATTGTATTCAAATATTTTTTCTAGTTTTTTGAAAAAGTTGGCTTATGGGCATAAATGCAGGCGGTAGAGTCAAATGAGACACACAAGTCAATTAAAATATATATTTCCTAAAAAAAATATATCTTTGGGTAAATAAACATAATAATTGTGCGTAAATATTTTTTTTAGGTTTTTGCAAAAGTAGCTTTATAGGCATGGAATGTAGGTGGTACACAAGTAAAATAAAATAGATATTTTTTGAAATTTTTGTGATATTTTTGGGTAAGCAAACATTACATTTGCGTTCAAATATTTTTTTTTTAGTTTTCTGAAAAAGTTTGCCTAGCGGTAGACTACGCAAGTCAAAGTGCAAGTCTAGGTGGTAGATTGCACAAGTCAAATACTTTCAAGATTCAATGTTGGCACTGTCACTGAGATATTCAATAACTGTAATATCAAATAACATGATCATATCGATCAGCAAACACACCAGTTTAGCTACCAAAATAATGAATTTAAAAAGTTAAATTTGAAACGAATTGTACTCATTTTTGAGAAATATTTATAATTTTTTTTTGTTAGATGCACTGAAGTCTGCCCTGATGGTGTTTGGGGATTAAATTGCTCCTCAAGATGCGTCTGTGAAAATGATGCCAAATGTGATCCATTTAACGGCAGCTGCTCCTGTGAGCCAGGTAAATGAAATCAATATTGATCAAATTAAATCATTATCAACCTACAATTATTGGTTAAATTTATTTTTTCGAATCTATACATTTTGTTTTGAAAAGAAATTTATAACTCTTATTTCGTATGAATCAAATAGGATGGATTGGAAAACTCTGTAACGTTCCATGTAGACCAAAGTTCTACGGATTAAACTGTGGAAACAAATGTGACTGTTTAAATGACGGAAATTGTAATCCAGTTGATGGAACCTGCCAGTGTTCAGAAGGCTATTATGGAGAAAGGTGAAATAAAAAGATTGAAACTTTTACAATTTACAAAGAAATGAGAAAGTTTGACATTATGAATTTAATTTCAAAACTAAAATATTAATTTCTGAAATAAAATTTAATACAAAAGTCAATTAATTCAGCTAATTGTTTTTAAAAAAATATTACCTTCTATAAAGCAAGATTACTTAATTTTTATGTCAAAACTAAATGTTATGTTACATGCGTACAACTATAAACAACTATAAATAGTTACGACGTATTTAGTTACATAATTAAATATGATATATTTTGTATGATTAAGGTCAAAACATTAAATAGTGTTATTATATCCCTTCAAAATTTGTTATTCAAAGTTCTCTTGGATAACAGGAATTGAGTAAATCGTGCTTCTTTAAAAAAATATCCGTTTACAAAGATTTCCTTACAAATATAAAAATAACATTTTTCATGAAATATAGATTGATGTAAAAAAATGCTTAGTAAAGTAAAATGTTTTGAAATTTTTGTAACTAAAAGAAAACTCTTTATCTTATAGTTAGGGTAAATTTTACATGGTTAAAATGATTATTAATATTGAATTGCATGGATACTGATACTATAAATATAGAAATGCTTGTTCGTTTTGTATGCTTTAAATATTATCTTAAGAAATACGATAATGATTTTGATAAAAAAATTATGATTGCTATATTAAGAGAAATAAAACTATACTTATAAAGTTAACATAGACTTCATATTATTCTGTCTGTCTTCAGTATATTATTTTGAATCTAAAATTTGAACTTTTAAACCTCAAATGTTTACTTTTAAATTCTTTTTTATTTTAAATTAAATTACTCATTTATTTTAAAATTTCATTTTAACTCTTGAATACAAAATTCCATCGAATATACTAAACTAAACTCAGTGACGCCACAGCTCTAGAGGGGCCATGGCCTTGGGCTCTTGAGTGCAGGAGCAGATGTTTCGGTTTGGTAGACGGCCAAAAGGGGACCCCCAGGGGTTTTTGGCTAAGCATGCTTATTACTAATTTAATTAACCCATTGAAGAAACGAAAGGCTCAGTCAATCTTGGATACAGAATACCAGACCTGTGGCACGGGAGCTCGAAGTGCTATAAACCAGCCAAGTGAAATCAACCAACCATCTACTCCTAAACCAAATATTTGAGCTCTTGAAGCATCATTTCAAGATTAAGAAAATGATAGTCCTCAGAATATTGTTAAAATTTTTAAATTTGTTTGCTGACTATACAAATTAGAAAAGAATTAACATTGTAGCATTTTCTTTAAAAAAAAGAATTAGACATAGATAGCTAGTTGATTTGAAATTAATAACATTATCAAGAATCTAGCAAATTAAAATTCCATTGTTTTATTTTCAAAAAATAATAACTTTTAAATGAAGTTATGATCATAAAATAAAAACAGAGATGGCCCATTAAATGCGATATATTTTATATTTTCCATTATTACGTCGAGCTGTTGCTTTCAAAACCAACTCAAAATCAGCAACTGTACTGGAAAAAAACTGCTTTTGTTTGTGAGATCAGGAATTACCAGAGCTACTTTGTATTTAATATTGATGCGCTACTTTTATCAGATTTACTTTTCAAAACATTTCTGAGCGAATAGTGGATTATCAGAAACATATCTTATTTAGTTTAAACACAATAGTAACATTTTGTGCTTCTTTTTTTAGATTATTTCTAAGTAAACGAATCTGTTATTAGTTTAGCTGATGACTATGCAATTATTGATGTTATATAAATTTCTTTGAATGAAATATCTCATTTTTTATAAACATTTCCTGTCTTTTCATTTTTTTCTAATTTGTACTTAAAGCTTAATTTTGAATATTTTCTCAAAAATAGGACTGTATAAAAAGATAATAAATGAGAAGCGATGTGACAAACTGTATTTGTATTTTATTTGCATTTTCAGATGTGAAAATAAGTGTCCAAGTGGATCTTGGGGCTTAAACTGTTCCAATGTCTGCACCTGTAAGAACGGTGCAACCTGCATACACTCGACTGGCTACTGCGACTGTGCTTCCGGTTGTTTTTTTTCCTTCAATCTATTAAATTACATTCAGTGCATTTTATTTTATTTGTCTAAGTTACAGTCACGAGATTTAACGCGCAATATAACAAAGCAATGTAAATAATAGTTTTTGGCTAAACAATCTAACTATAATGTTGACTACAGTTGTTCTGATGGGTTTTCTGAATGATACGTAATTTTTCCTAGCATAGGAATGATGGTCCATCTCTATTTGTCTTAGATACAACGCCTTGTATCTCCTAAGTAAAGTCTTGTTTGTGCGATCCAAGTTCTTGGAACAAGATTGATTGAAATTGATGGAAATTTGTTTTGCTTGGAGCTAGGATCGTGTAAACGATCATCCAAAATTCTTGGATCGTCGATAATAGTAGAGCATGCTCTACTTTCAATCCAAGTTTTTCCTCCTTTTACCAATCCGTTTCGAAAGTTTTTTTTTTTTTGACGTCAGCAAGATTATGTCCTTTTCTTGTCCGTTTTCATATATTTTAATCCAAAATATATGAAAATGTACCAATCCAAATAAATTAAAATGTTAGAGTTTATTTATACAGGGTGTCCCAAAACGACGGCATAAACTCTGCACAGCTAGATTCCTCGTTGGGAGTACATAAACACTGCCCAAAGAAGCGTTCCTGTACGATCCATAATTTATGAGAAAAATACAAAAAACAAAGTATGACGTCAGCAGTATACAATGTCCAATTTACAACAGATGTTCAAAGTGTCCGTTTAAACATTATTGTCTGGAAAGATATACATATACTGTTGCTGATATGTCCAATAAAGTGTTTTTTTCCCTTGCACCAGCTGTGACGTCATACTTTGTTTTACGTATTTTTCTCGTAAACTATGGATCGTACAGGAATCCTTCTTTGGGCAGTTTTTATGTACTCCCAACGAGGAATCTAGTTGTGCAGAGTTTATGCGGTCGTTTTGGGACACCCTGTATTATTATAATTTTATTTTGTAATTTTGAACTCCTGTAAGTATGATTTTATAATGTTGAATATGAAGAATACGCATGCGCAGGTTATTCATCCGACCAATCAGTGATATATAAGAACATGGATAGTATCGACTAATCATTCAATTTCTTGAACAGAAAAATTCCTCCAAGTTCTTGAATCCAAGAACTTGTACCGTATAAGCAGGCCTTAAGAGATGCGAATAACTTACCGCTTCTAGAACTATTGGCAAACCTAATGCAAGACAAGATCCATAACTTATGAGAAATCGTTTGGTTTTTTAATATTTGATACTACTGATATTTTCTTGAAAATTAAGAGGCTAAATAAATTCAAGAACTTGTCACGGGAGAGCAAAACCAAATGCCTATGTTATGTTTTGTAACAATGAAATTTTTCATTCAAGTACGAATCGCAATATTGCTGTTGTACAAAAAACTTGAATCGGTGCAACATTCTGGGCTCTTTCCCCGCAATCATTGTAGGGTGCAATTTCTCATAGCTTTGACTTGATTCAAAAATCACCTATTCGATTCTAAGACAAAAATCTATACGAAACGTTTCCAGTTTTTTTCCTTAGCTTCTAGAAATCTTATTTTGTGTGTAAAATTCAAACATATAACTAATCCTCATCAATAAATAAACTTAATTTTTATGCATTTACAAATTATTCAAGCACGTTATTCATAATATTGTTATCATCATCTTATTATTTTATTTTATTATTGATATTGAAAAGCAAATTTATATTGATTTAATGGCCATAAATGTTCAACTCCGTATCCTAGTGATTTTGAACATGACCCAGAAGACAAAGGAGCACTTGTATCCAACATTGGAAAATACCTGCTTCAGTAGAGGACTAGCCGAATGAAACTAACCAGAATTTGTGCTACGTTTGACAGAAAATCCATGGTTATTCCGATCTAGCAAGAAGAATCTAACTCGTGATTCATATACCATTTTTGATATTTTCCATTAGTAATGTGGTCGGGGCGAATCAGGAGAAGCAAAGGAATGGGTCAGGCATCAATTTTCGCCACGTTTGTCGTAAGAAGATCACTCTGTAACCTTACCTTATGGAACCACAATGTGAAAAAAAGTATGGTCAATACTACCAAAATATGGTAAAATTTCCCACGTTTCTGGCTCTAAGGAAACACCAAAGTCTCAGTAATTTTTACTTAAGCGTGTTGGCAATGATTTTGGCAAAATGAACAGTAAAATATTGTTTTATAATGCGTGATAAAGTTTGGTAAATGTTTTAAAATTTGATAATTTTACCATAATATCTTACGGCATTGCATAAAAAACCATTTAATCTGTTAAATTTATTTTTCAGTTTTGCGTTTTCGACAAATGTGTGGTAATAAAAACTATAGTTTTGAAAACCAGAATTTCCGGTAAATCGTTACCATATGGCTGGAAAAATGTTATTAAATTAGTTGTTTTTAAATATCATATATTTTGGTTTTATTAACACTAGAAAGACTGAAACTTAGTATATACCTATATTGCCCAAACGCAGTCAAAAGGACTGAATTGTGAAAGAACAATTAATGTGTCAGGAAATTTGTTTAAAATTAATTTTTAAGATTTTTTATATTATTTACGGTTATATAACAAGTTGTTAGTAAATATTAACAATAAAAGAATTATATGTTGTACAACACGTCACAAAATTCTAAGGAATTGCGTCATTATATACATCATTGTTTTTTTAATTGAAATCGTAAAGCAATCAAAATGACTTCCTTGGGCAATCTAGAGTTAACTAGAATATTGCTTCTTTTTCTTTTTTCTTCTTTGTTACCAGAAATGTCATTACTGTACACTACGATAATTTAATTTGAAATTTTTACTACCTGTGAAAAAGCAGCAGCTGGAAATTTTTTTATTTTATTTCCAATGCAGCAGTCGATACAGACATTATCCTAAAGCCGTACAGAGATCAAAAGAAAAGAAAAATGCAAATACAGAAAAGAGATTAAACATACGAAATACAAAAACAAAAGCAAAATATTAAACACAAAAATTAAATCAAGAATTTAAATTGAACAAAATATCTCTGGCCTCCCAGTATCGGGAGTAGATGCAGTTCTTTGTGAGAACTGAACAGTTGAGGAGATGTTCAGCATTCATCGTCGCTCCACTACGCCAGAGGGGGCAGGCAGGATTATCCACTATTTTAAGACGGAAAAGATGAGCGTAAAAGCAATCGTGCTTGGTAGCAGCTACAGCACTGCTTCTTGGGCAGTCGGGAAGATTAAGGATGTCATTTCTCCACGATTTTTCCTTTGTCCGTTCTTTTAGCAATGATATATGTGTTGTCTTAATTGCATGATTAATCATTAATAAAGTGGGCTTATAGCTAACCAAGTTATTTGGGGCTTGATTAACAAAGCAACCTTTTTTGGCTAGAATACCTAGAAACTGAACTTTTTAAAATGACTCTTTAAAGAATCAAATCGAAGTAAATGCTTAAAGACTGTGGATGCCAAATCTTAATTTTGAACTCCTTAATTGTATAATTTCCTTGTCTAATAACCTAACAAATGTGTCTAGTTCAAACCGTTTCAAACAACTAACTAGCTACACATTATCTGAATAGAGAATACGAACCCTAAAGTAATTAATTCGATACAAACTCATTCTAATATACTATGATTCTCTAAACAAGCTTATCGATTTTAGGGCTTCAAGCATATTATTACTTTAGTTCTTTTTTCTTTTTTAAGTATTTTAAAATAATATTTTAATTTGCCGTAATTTATAGGGTGGAAAGGACATGCCTGTGAAATCCCATGTGAAAATGGAACTTACGGATATTTTTGCAATCATAAATGTGAATGCAAAAATAACGGAAAATGCGATCCTATCAGCGGCTGCCTTTGCAAACCAGGATTTACCGGTGAAACGTAAGTATTGAGAGTAAGTACGAAACTTAACTCTCGTGAATACTTTAAAATTATGTGTATATTTGAAATTAGTTTTGCGAAAAAGTCTCTTCCAACTTCAAAGAATAACAAAAGAGAACCACTGTTATTCATTAAGTGGTAAAAGTAAGTAAGAACTACAAAAAAAGTTAAAAATAAGAGAGGTGAATATCACATATCTAGGTGTAATTCTCACGCTAAGATTGAATACATAAAACATTGATATTCTAGTTTCTAATGTTCTTTATTTTTTACAGGAGTATTTTAAGATGATGAATATTTTGACTAACAATATGTTATTTTATTTTATTACCAGCGACGAAGAGCCAGTTTATCAATCGAAAAATGGAGGGGGAAAAACATGCGAGCCCCGTAATCAGTCAAAGAAACAAACTCGTTTTTATAAAGCAATTTTCAAAAGAAAAAAACCCTCTTTTGCTTTATTTAGAGAATGAACAATCGTTCCGTCGAAGTCTAACCTATGATCCGCTTACCTTCATTAATATTTAATGATACTACTACAGTTGTGGTTGATATATACGAGTTAACCGGACATTATTTGATTTGAACTTGAGTTCGTTATAGTCATAAGCGAGGCTTCAACTTCTTAAAAATTTCCACCCAACACACTATGTTATTAAATTTTTTGCAGATAAATTATTTTCAATTGTTTTATAGTTATTTAATGGAACGACACTTGTGTAGTGATATACATATCATCTTACTGATTGTTAATTTGACTGATTAGGATAATTTTCCTGATAATGCGAGTAAAGAATATAATATTCGTAGGTGTCAAGAGATATGTTCTGATTCTTCATGGGGCAAAAATTGTTCTAAAAGATGCACGTGTAAAAATGGAGCAACATGCAATCCAATTAATGGCTTCTGTTCTTGTACACCAGGTAAATATATTCTATTAAAACATATTTAAGAGTTAGATTTTCAATTTAAAAGGTTTGAGCTTTGAATTAAAGAAATAAAATTTAATTTTTTTGCGAAAAGTAGAATTAATGTTAGCTATTTTGTGCAGGAAAGAAAACAACTGGCCTTCTCAAATTTGAAAATAGCAGAATAATTCACGATCAAATTATTAATTATTTATGTCGAAATAACGTTTCTTAATTTTTTGAAGCTATAAGCAGTCAAACACTTATTGTATTGGAATACAATACTGTTGTGCGGTACTTTTAAGATTTTTTCATTTTTATTATTTTTTTCTCTATAAAATGCACTGAATGAAATCGAATGATTAAATTTCTCTTATAATTTAAATGTTTTTCCTTGACTGAAATGTAAGAATTCTAATTACTATTTAGTATTAAAAAAATTATTTTTTACATTTTTTAATTTCAGCAAAGACGACAAGTAATAAAGATGACAACTGTTAAAAAATTATTAAAATTTCTTATGTTTTGTTATATTTCATAATTCAATTTCATGTTTGAACAATGAAATTTTCATTCATGTATTAAGTTTTGTTATATTTATATTTAATTATTCATTCATTCAACCATAAAAGTAGTGCGAGACAAACCTAATTTAATGCATGCAATACAATTTATTGTTACTTTTGTAAGAAAACAATGAAAAAAACCAACATTAAAATATTTGAAATATTACAAAAAGTTATTTTAAACTGAATTTATGAAAAAAAAAAAACATTGAATAACCTTGTTCAAATATTCAGAACCAATGTAATTGTGTTAACCATGTAAATATTTTTCATGTATTATTATAATTTTTCATATACTTGTAACTTATTATATTATGAAAATTAAATAAAAGAGCAAGACAATGAAGGGGACTGGTATTTTTTTAAAGCAGCCACCCCTTTGTTTACGTATAAAATACGTATAAAGTGATTAAATTTAATTATATCTTTATTAAATATTTCGTATATAAGGAAGAATAGAAAATAATTAGAATTAAATATTTTTTTGCAGAAAAGTTAAATAAAAGCAGTTTTGTTTGTCTTGAATTCAGAGCTTGTTCATTTAATCACTTTACTTCTAACAAACCCAAAATATTTATGTTTATTGCTTGCGTTGTTCGTAACTAAAAAAACTATTTTCGTGTGTGCTGAACATTACAAAATTGAAATATCACCTTAATTAATTTTCTTTTTTAATAATTTTCATTTGTTAGAATTTTAACTGAAGAATTAGTTTAGTTTAAATTTTACTTTCATTTTTATTATTGTTTAACCAATAAAGGCTAAGCTTTTATTAAAGCTTTAATTAAATAAAGTGTCGCAATGTTAATTCAAGTATTTTCACAGTAGTTAATTTTTATAAACGGAAATTAAACCATAGAAGTTATTCAGAAAAACAAGATCAGTAATGTTTCACAAAGTAAATTAATATATATATATATAT